TTATAGAAACCATGAACAAAAATATGGTTTCTTTCAGTCAATTAATAGAGAATCACGTCCTCTTTATAGTTAATCCTGAAGAGAGGAATATAATTAGGTTTCAAAAAGTTTCTAATTATGAGATTTTTTCAGACCGCGCAATTTCCATTTAAGTAGCATCGTACCTGGCCGTTTACCACAGCTCCTCATGAAGTGTACAACATAGTCCGCATCCATTGCAAAATCTTATGGACTCTGCACGATACTTTTTTAAAGGCATAGACAAATACGTCTTTTTCTTTACGCGGAACGCATGGACCTTTTAGAGTGAAATCACTAAGCGCTAATGCAACGGCTGATCCGCCTCAGAATTATTCGGCAGTTAGAAAGCTTTTTAAAAGCCTAATTATACTCCTTTCTCGAGCATAGAATATACAGATGACGTGATTGTCTACCAAACGACTGAAAGGAAGCATATTTTTGTTTATTGTTTCTATAAGATATAATTTAAATTTCAAGGCCATCGAGATTCAGTGGGGAAAATTCATTCTACAAAAGTAGTCATTTTTACCGAGTACGGTTTCTACAGGAGATTGGGAAGCGGTGTATTCAAAAGCCGACATCCTGCGGAGTCCGAAATATTATAGGATTATGCCACAAGAAAATCAGTATTACAGCCGAGCCCAAGTAATCCTTCCTAATCGAAAACGTATTTCAGCATTTCGACCAACATTTCATGAGATTGGTCACTCACCGTAGGTCCTTTGTTGCGCTGAGTGAGAAAGAGGGTAGCACTGATTCACGGCAGGCACTGGTCCAGCTGTGAATGAGTCCTTAGGTATTGTCACATAGGAGTGTGATACATGTCGATTTAACCCTCTACGCCAAGCGAGACATTGCTCCAGTCGACAGAAATGTCAAGACAGTCCACCGGTGCATGCGAGAGAGAGAAGATGGAGTGAGGCTGATCTCCTCGTCAGTTAATGTACACGTATACTACTTTTTTAACAAACTAAGATATGCACTTGTTACATGACAACAGTTCGACCGCCGTGTTGAACGACGTCCACCGTGTGCCGCACAGCAAAGTAAAGCAGGCATGGTGACTTGCATAGCATCCACCGCACTCTCTCCTCCCTAATTAGGTCAGGCGTCAAGAGGACCACAGGTGCGGGAGGGCGCAGGTGGCTGGCACGGCGGGACTCGCACCTACGCGTATCACCTCACCACTTGGCCCACAACAAACACTTGACGAGATTTTAATCAAAAAAATTAACGAGTCAGAAAGAGGACGACTGAGCAACTATGCACACGACCTGCTCACCCAGCGCGTCCACCGGCAGGAAACCAGGTGCCAGAGAACGGCCAGTGCACACTAGGCCGCGATTGCCGTGGTTTGCTTATCATGGCATGGCATATGCATACAATCTTTAGGGTCCCGCTACATGATCCACCATATTTAACAGCACAAGTACTAACTGAGATTTAATTAGTCTTGGATTTTCATGCTATCCTGAGCGTTGAAGAAGGAGACACGATAGCTGGGACAAGTGCTTTATTAGACTGACGCTTCGGATTCCTGCTCGAACCCATCTTCAAAGACAAAAGCAGATACGAGTGGTTCAAGCACAAGGGGCTTCAGTATTTATAGGATGCAGTCGCCATGCTACCGCACAACTATGAATATTCACAGCTCCCACGCATCACATCACATCAAATCTCCGTTCTGTGTGCAACTCCAACCCCCAAATGGTGCGAAAAAGCGGCCGAGGGCTTCCGAAAAGTTCTTGACATACGGAGGCGCTCGCCAAAATGTGCTGTCCGTGCGGTTAGGCCTTTCGACCCTCTTGCGTGTGCACCGGTTGACGAAGCTGCGCGGGTAGCCATTGGCTTTGAAGACCCGTCGGAGGTATTGTAATTCAGTAATCTTGTTTTCCGGCTCACTGCAGTGCGTTTCGGCACGCCGATGCGTCGTCCTTACACAGTTGCGTTTGTGTAAGGACGGAGGCAACCATCAGGCGTCAGGTAATGAAACCAAAAGACCCGCTCCCACGGCTAGAAATGTCTGGAGTCATTTATCGGATCTGATGCAGTCACGGACAAAGCACTTACATCGAATAAGCCGGAAGACAGCTCCGAACGCGAATGGCCGAACACGCTACAGTGGTACGGAGAAATGACGCCAGCTCTCAGCTTGCAGCTCATTCAACGAGATCCGGCCACACATTTAAATTCGACGAGGTCGAAATTCTCGCTAGAGGTGACAACCGCGTGAACCGAGAGTTGATTGAGTCATGATTTACTGGCCCCCAGTCTATTAACAAATGCAATGTCCTTCCCCTTCCATACTCGTTGCTGAGACTTCGCCTAGGCGGAGTAATTTGTCACGCGGGGAGCGCAAAAGTGAACACTTTTCCCAAATCCAGGGTCGGTGCGTCAGATGGTGGCGCAATCATCACGCCGACATCCAGCGCACATGATGAAACTGCATCAGTTAACGATGCGAATGTCGGCCATCAAACAGTCATCACACCAAGTGCGACGATGCCGCATGAAGGGGGGAGCCGTGAATATTCATAGGTATGCGGTAGCATGGCGACTGCATCCTATAAATACTGCAGCCCCTTGTGCATGAACCACTCGTATCTGCTTTTGACTCTGATGATGGGTTCGAGCAGGAATCCGAAACGTCAGGCTAATAAAGCTCTTGTCCCAGCGATCGTGTCTCCTTCCTCAAGACTGCTTCCTGGGACTCGTCTCTTCGATTCTATCCATTATCCACCATACTTATCAGCACAGGTACTAACTTTCGGGGGTACGATCGCTCGTTGGGATTTGATCTGTATTTTATTTTCATACTAGCCTGGGCTTGTCAGCTTTGGACTGGTGTGCGCCCGGTCGTCTCTGAGAAGTCTTTGACGAGTGTGGGCCAAAGCATGCCGAATCACCGTCTCCGCTGTGGTCCTCGGGGGGGGGGGGGAACATGTAGGCAGCGGTCTATAAGCTACTTCGGATGGCCATTCCGCAAAAAACGGGTAGCGGGGACCTCGAGTCTCGCATGTTTTGCCCTCCAGTATGCTGCAATCAGCCCAGATCAGTTTGAGGAGCGTCAACACACCGTTTCGTCTGTGAGCTACCAAGTGGTTACTGTGATAACTGAGCTACATTGCGCACCACGGTCATGGAGATTAAAGATCGATTAAATCCCAGTGCGCGGTCGTACCCTGGACCTAAATATCCCTGTAACTGATAAAAGCGAATATGCGAATCCCAGGATCTTGTTGTAAAGAAGACGGCGCATAAACACAGTTGTGTTAGGACACTCTTCCAACGGGTAAAAACGCACTGCAGTGAGCCAGAGGGACGAGTACGAGAACTTCGGCATCTTCGGGACCAACTGGCAAGGAATGGATACCCGAACAGCTTTATCAGCCGCTGCTTCCCCACGCACCCACGGCGAACAAACGGAGAGCCGCCAACACTCTGGCACCCTCTACCATATATAATGAACGTGTCAGAAGCGATGGAACGTATCGCTGGAGCTCGGCGTGGGTGTCGCTCACCGCCCGACAGCGACCATGCGCAACAAAATCATGCGAGTGAAGGATCGCCTAGACGTTGGAGAACATCCGGGTGTCGTTTATCAGATCTCATGTCGGGACTGCCCTCGCCACTACACAGGACAGACCGGACAACGACTTAGCTCACGAATAACGGAGCACAAACGGGCGGTCCGCAGAGACGACGCGTTGTCTCAGGTCGCCACTCACACCCTGGAGGAAGGCCACGAACTCAACTTCGTGAGCACACGGATAGTAAAGCGAGCCAACAATAAGACAGGGCGATAACTGTTGGAGGCCTGGGTGTCTGACACCAACTCGATCAACAGGCACGTTGATATACTCCCCTGCTATCACGCGCTCCGTTCCCGCGGCCAAGAGGCGAGACCCAATTTTTAGCCAAGAGTGCACGCCGTCACGCCACCGTGAGACGGCGTCGGACTCAGCTTATCGCGAATATTACCTTCTGCACTCATATCCCCCCCCCTTCATGGCTTGACTATAAAAACTGCTCATTTGATGTCGCATTCTCACAGCCTCTGAAGATGGCCTCCTGTACGAGACCGAAAGCTCAGACTAACACACCTACTGTCCCAGAGATCGTCGCACATACACGAACATAGGTTGGATGAGTGAAGGGGTGACGAATTATCATAAGTGGGTTGCCCGCACCTTCGAGACAGGTCCTAAATTCGACTTTGCAGTCGTCAAAATGAACGCCGGGAGAAAGAAAAGTCGAGAAATCATGTTAAGCCAGGATCTTGGTGAGAACTCAATCGACGCATTGATCTGGCGCCGGCATACAGAGACCGACACAGCCACCTCCGGACCTGCGCCACTAACTGCTGATTGGTTAATATCATCTACAACTTTTCTTTCTTTTATTGTTTTCGCCATGTCTGACGATATGCTCTCACATGAGACCGAAAGTTTGGAACAAAAAAACAACTTGTTCCGATTCTCGACGAGTTTTTTTATTCCCTATTCATAGTTAGGCCTTGAATTCGGACATTCGTCTCTATTTCAGGCGTCAGCTGGACGCCAGTCCAACACAGTTCGATGGCGGTTGAAGTTGGCGGCTGTACACGGCACAGCGGATCTTGCGAATTGACTACGACAGTGAAAGTACGCCAACTATTTACAGACACATTTAGCACACTGCAGAGCCTATTAAAGTCATGGCAGTTGCTGAAAGCTGTCTTAAAATTTACTAGACAAATCTCCTGAAGATGTCCAGTGACACTTTCTCTATGGGCCACACCTGAGTTACATTGCAGCAGAAACCCTTGCCTAGAGAGTCCAGCACAAATCATTTAAGTTTCGACAGGTCAAGATTGCGCTCGACAGGTACCCCCTTTTCCAACCAAATTGGTCCACAGCAGTCAGAGGCGGTGTTTAGTCTCGAAAAAAGTTACTGTGCATTTTACTAAAACTCTTCATAAAAGGACATGTTAGACTGACTCAAACGTCCGCTGTCTGGCGGAGGGAGTGAAGATGGGAAGAGAATTTAGGGTTTTCATCCAAAAATTGACGCAGCGCCTGAACGGCCTTGAAACGGTGGGATACGGAATTCTTTGTGGCCTTGTCCATCTCCGCGTAGGTGGACTGGTAACCTTCCGGCAGAAAACAGGGGTCCCAGCCGAATCCGGAGGAGCCGCGAGGTTCCACAATGCGACCTCGGGTAACGCCTTGAAACAGACGAACGGGCTGGCCGCGTCCGTCACAGAAGGCAAAAGTGCAGGTTGCTGAGGCCATGTTGTTTTCAGCACCGAAACCAATGAGTATTTTGTGAAGACCTGAATAAATGGCGGAAGACGGAAATGACAAGAGTACTTTGGCCATGAAAAGTGTTTCCTTCACGCTGGCTGTCCTATGACCTACTTCAAAGGAAAATACAGGGGGAGAACAGGGCCTCTTTGGAAGACGAGACGCGTGCTTTAGCCTGGCGCGACAAGTAGCGTCGAACAAGGAGATCGTTCGGTGTGGATGACCACGAAACTGCGCGACTGCGTAGGCGATTGACGTGAATCTCTTCCTGATATTAGATCGCAAGGTCGCTATGTCGACTTCGGTGAGAGCTCTCGAATGGAATATGAAGGACGGTAGGGACCGTCCAAACTCAGGCCTGTAATGAAGATACATCGGATCAACATTACCGACAAAGACAAGGGAGACTGGAATGGACATTACTGGCCGGCTAGCCGCCATCAGCCAACCATATATAACCCCGGGAGATGCAGCCTCCGAGGTTCAAACTCGCAACCGACTAATTAGAAGTCCAACGCCCAAAACGTTAAGCCATGGGCCCGTTGTCCTGTCGGTCACCATCGGATATATTAACAAAGGCAACAGGATAACGAGCCTGTAGCTCAATAGTTAGGACGCTGGACTTCTAACTAACAATTCGAGCCTCAGGGTTGGGTATGACTGGCTGACGACAGCTAATAAGCCAGAAATGGCCAATCCCGTCTTCCTTGCCCCGTCGGTAATGCCAGTCAGCCCACTTTACGCGCAGTTGTACGGTTGCTGGCGGGGATCGAGAGAGAACCAGGAGACAAAATGGGACGAGTGTGCTCCGTAACGCGATTGGTGTGCGCCCGCTAACACTGGAAATACATTGGTCGACGTCACACCTGTGTTATTCGAACCTATCACTAACCGTTGATGCAGTCGTTAAGAAGTGCCGAGGAAACAAATGGCAGACGTTTGTGACGTCAACAGCGCAATGCTCTAAAACCTAGAGTTCCAGCTGGTCACTCCCGCTGCGATTCATGGGGAAAGTTGGTCGCTTTTATCGGTGTCCAGACACCGAGCTTGCTTCTGCAAAGCTGTAAAAAAATCGCAAGTGCAATGATCTTCCCCTTCCATGCTCGGTGCTGAGATTTCGCCTAGGCGGATTAATTAGTTACGGGGGAAGCGCACGGGTGAGCACTTGTCCCAAAGCCAGGGTCGGTGGGTCAGATGGTCGAGCAATCATCACGCCAACATCCAACGCACGTGATGAAATTGCAGCAATTAACGACGCGAATGTCGGCCACTAAAAAGTCATCACACGAAGTGCAACCATCCCTGATGAAGCGGAGAGAGCCGTGGCTATTCATAGGTATGCGGTGGCATGACGACTGCATCCTATATATGCTGCAGCCCCTTGTGTATGAGCCACCCGTATCTGCTTTTGTCTCTGATGATGGGTTCGAGCAGGAATCCGAAACGTAAGGCTAATAAAGCTCTTGTCCCAGCGATCTTGTCCCCTTCCTCAAGTGCTTGGAGAGTCTCTAGGTCTAACCAACGACAGATGGCCGAGCCTCATGATTTCTCAGCTCTAGAGGTTCGCATAAAGGTGGTGTTGACGATGGTCGCCGTCTAAATCGACCGTCAGACTTGGGTCACATTCTGAAGATCCATTGGATTAGCACTTTTCCGCAAAATTACTGTACAGCCAGGCGGCAGAAAGTGTCATTGGCCGTAAATAGCATTTTATTTTTAAAAAAAATTGGCTGGGTGGCGGCCATCTTTACACCCATTATCAACGGCGGTCAAGAAGACAAGTCGAGAGCCATTTTGTCGTTTTTGATGATGGTGGTTTCTACCAAAGAGAGTGAGGAGCCCGTGCGACTTGCGGCCGGACCACCTCAGTAGGTGAGTTGCTTTCCTGACGAATTTCACAGTCTTCCATAGCATATGCGATTGGAGAGGAGTAAGGGGCACAAAGGCCGGCATTAGGATACCTGAGGAGGGCGATTCTTGTCTGCTCTTATCAAAAGATTTGCAGCGCGCGAACAAATCCTATGCAACCGAAAGTTCCGTCAGGCAAAAGCGTCTAACACGACTCGCAGATGGGAATGGGCAGCTTCATGATAGGAGTTGTATCACTATGCAAAATAACTATTAATGTACTATGGGTTGATCTCAGTGATTACTGATGCCCTTGTAAATTCAAATACATTCCATAAAAATCTTCATTCTTTTACTCACTTGGAAGACAATTACGCCCTCTTTAAATGTTAAACTTGAAGGTGTATAATTTGATTTCAGAAGTTTCTGATTATGAGTTTTTTAAAACTATAAAATGCCCGCTCATAAAACACCGTGTCTCAATTTACTAATGCCGTTTGTAAAGTTAACAATATGGCTCAAATTTACCGCCAAATTTTATGAACCACGTATGGTCTCCTCTTGATAGCGAATGTACACGTATGGTTTTTCGTGCAGGAAAAATATACAGATTTTGGTTTGGAAACCCTGAATACAAGTGCAATGACAGGTCCGGAATGGAAAAGTTATTCAAAACCGAATTACACCCTTTCTTCAAGCATAGAATTTGCAAAGGACGTGATTTTTAATCCAAATGCGCAAGAGAATGAATATGCATGCATGTTTTCTAACAAATATATTAGAATTTATAAGGGCATTGAGAATCAACGAAAAAATCACACTACTTATGTAGTCATTTTTACAGTGTAGTTTTTGCAGGCGCACGGAAAGCAGTTCTTTAAAAAGCCGGTATCCAGAACCAACTGAATTGTCATGAGATTATGCTTCACGATAATTAATATTACAACCCTACTTTATTAATCTCTTTGAGTTGGAAACGCATTTCAGAATTTCAGTTAACTTCCATGAGTTAGCACATATACGGTATAAATGGACCATCACTTGCTCCAACGGATACTTACGCATCCTCAATTGAGAGCCCGTATGCAGCGTAGATTCACATGCCAGAAGCGAAGTAATAAAGCATTTTAATGTCGAAATGTGCACAGTTATTACATGTCCAACCCCACGACATTCCGACTATTGCGAACGACAACGTACAAATCTACTCACAAGGCGGACCTACCAACGGATACTTGCGCAGCATCTACTGTACAAATTTCTCTCGCATCCACCATGTTTCGGAGAGAAACAAGGTTAATACGACCAGAGGCTGTTACGTGTGATGCGGATAACAATGTATTAGTGCCTCTGCTGCATGCGAAGGTGACTAGCAATCGACTACGCAAAGACAGGCTGCATGTCTGTGAAACTGAAAAATGTGGACTTACTCTTTAGGGCAATAAATACAAATGCAACGTACCTTGTGCACCCACAGCCTTCAGAAACCATTTAATATAAGGCCCTGGAAGACCTTTAAGTGCGTCAAAACCGAGGCTGGTGTCTTCGACGAGGACGGGACCGTCAACCTGCTCAGCAGCAAAACGGCACTTCGAAATCGCGATTTCCTCAGCGACTCCCTGATATTCCGGCAAATCGACGTCGAGGGATCTAAACTGAAGGACGCATAAGCAAAAATGTGAATAGTCTACTAACAGTACGAAGGTATTATAAATTGTAGGCAGTATTAATGAGCAATGGTGCAGGGCTTGCAGGCAAGAATGATGCTACATAAAACACTGGCCTCGTGTCTCACCAAAGGAGTGTACTGGTCCCCCAAAATTTCCAGAGTTTCACGCAGTTTATTCGGGTTGCTGGTAATGTAGGTAATGATGTGGGGCTGGTTGGAATGCCCTGAATCACCGACTGCGTAGCATTTGACACAACTCGAGCACTTCCATGTTTTAGCGGTCTGGAAGGAAGTAAACGCCTCAAGAGTTAAATCCGAACAGGTGGGGTGGAACCTGCCTTTGCATGCGGAACAAACAAGAGCCTCCTCTGAGACAGGATATTTACAGCCCTCGCGAGCACACGGCGTAGGAGTTGCCCGTAGGTCCATCGCTGGGTAAAAGGAATAGAAAAAATTGTGATAAGTGAGGGAGAAACAAAAAGAAGGCAGGTGCGAGTCGCTTGGGGGACCAGAGAGCAGGCAATAGCACAACCTCGAGAGAAAAGTCGTAGCTAGCTACCCGGAAACCGTAAGAGGCTTCACTATCAGTGAAATGATCGACGTACAAAGTGTCCCACGTTATGATCTACGATAAAATTGCCCAAAATGTATCTATGCCACTGCGTTCGATTCCATTTATCGTGAATCTATGTGGTGGATAATGGCACTAGATGGTGTACCGTCAAAACTTATCGCCGCGATCAAGATCTATTACCGCTCCACCATTGAGCGAGTTCTGGTTCATAACACTCCCATTCGTTCGGTATTTGGTCTGGCGTCCGACAAGGTTGTGGCCCGTCGCCATTCTGTTAAATTACGCTATTGACTGGATTCTTGGGAGAGCCCTACACGAAGATAACGGTGTTGAGTTTGCATCCAGACACTGATTGACTGATCTCGACTATGCCGATAGCATCACCCTACCAGCTCTAAATTTTGGTGATCTGCAGTCTATGGTGCCATGGGCGAACGAGATCGACAAATCGGTCGGCTTGTCCACAAACGCTGGCAGGGCCAATGTCGTCTTTACCCTGCCCATTCGGAAGAAGCCTTTCAAGGAGATATTTAAAACCATCCACTTCTTCATGTTACCATCCATTTATATCTTGGGGTGTCTTCTGATCAGGGATGTAGCTCGCCAACGACTTTATCCTTCCGGTGCTTATGGATATACCGACCGATTTAGCGACCTCGACCACCTGTGACATCATAGACAGCAGATTACCAAAATATGTAGCTATTAAGGTGATGTTATCGGTATCATCGTGATCAGTCGGCCGGTCTCCAGGTGCCAACTCAATAGGGCCCTCCCAGGGATCCAGTCAATAACGTAATTGAACAGAATGGGTGACATGATACAAGCCTGTTGGACGTCAGACCAAATACCGAACGAATGGGAAAGAGTATTATGAACTAGAACTCGCTCAATGGTGGAGCGGTAATTGACCTTAATCATGGCGATGAGTTTTGGCGGCACACCAGTCAGTGCCACTATCAGTCACATGGATTCACAATGAATTAAATCGAACACGGCGGCAAAGTTAATAAGGCAATTGCCTGTGGGTTGCTGGTAGCTATGACGAAATTTGAGAATGCGCCTTAGTGTGGCGGAATTCGAGAATGCCTGGTCCCTACATCCAGGTACCAAGTATAAAATATGATGTAAGTGCATCTACTCCGAAAGGCGGACTATCGAAGACGTCAGGGTCCAGTCAGAGGTAAATCGGATACATTCGCAGTAAAAGCCAAAGAAGAGTTTGCGCCGCGGCTGATCGAACTCACATAAAAACCGATGGGGAGACCGCTTCCACGCTAGTGCTCGAAATGCTGGGAGATAAGCTCCTGCTCCTGTATGAGGTATGCGGCCAACGGTCGTCCCGTTGAATGTACTATTGCATTATACAAAATAAGGAAAATGTTCATCGATGAGATCCGCCGATTTCTTAACCGGCAAAAACACAATACACGGTCGACGTAACTTCCTCAGACGAAGATCCCAAATCCCGGACCTAATGAATACGCAAGAAATTCTTAATAAGCCGATAATAACGAAAACTACAAGTCGACCTCCGCCAACTTCGTACGGCATTCACACCAAACTATCGTAAACTTGCGGCAAACCTTCAACCGTGGCCTAGTGGCCAATGCGGTTAGCCGGTTTGGGAATATTCACTTACGAGATTTTGCCTTATAACACGAACCGGCAGTTAGTGAAGTCCCTTATATGCGCACAAGCAATAATCAAGAGTCAAAATCGCAAGGTCCGCAGTACCTGCGTCATACTTCTAAATGTTAGTTGTCGTTAAACTGGAACCACCGAGGAAACAGACGGTAGTAGCTCTGGTGAGCATGAAATCGTTCCAAATCAGAATGGCCTAAAAAAGGTGGATCGAATAAATTTCAAAATGTACAATGTGTTGTTAGACAGCATCCGGAGTAAACTTCACCCCTCGCCGCAGTTTTTTCCGATATTTGTGTCAAATAACAATTTGTTCGCCATTTTGGGAAACTGATGCTTAAATGTGTCTGGAATGGCTGAACTATCCATGATGCCCAACTGGGCAGATAGGGCATTTCAAACCCATTTGTACAAATGCGCTTAGATACTAGCAGACAATAGCAAAAATGCCTGGTATTAATCTTATTAAACCCAAAAACGTGCCCGACGTATCTTCTTCTCTATATTAAGTTGTATTCTGCACGCTGTTCTTGTATCCAGTCGTTGTTGAGCTACTTTACACAACTGCTTAGTTCGTTTTCATGCGCGTTTTTCGTTTGTTAATGCCTGCCGCCACTTATTAGCCACGTCCCAAATAAAAACTCCCAATGCAACCATCGGTTCCTATGCATGTGCAGATCATGTAGAATATCAAACGATATGGAGGCTATGCACTCCCGACTGCTTCGAGAATGCAAGTGAACTTATACTCATAACAATCTCAGCATGTTCTGAAACACCTCAAATTTCTGACTACTCAAAAGACGCAGGCCCATTGCTCACAAGAATATTCGATTTACCGTTTGGATATCAGCGCAATAAAACGCTATTAACCATTAAAAATACGAATTATTTATCCATGCACTTCGTTAGAATTTGGCATTTATGCATTTTCAGAAAGGTCTTCGCATCCTTTCACATAATAAATCAGTAAATTTGCCCTAGTATGTCCTTAACCTACAACTTAGTTTGTCATTTTACCTGATTTTCCTTCATTGGTCTCAGTCAGTCAGTGTATTTGAGGAAAATAGTCTTACGCCTATGAATTCCCTAGTTGTACATAAAAAATCAAGAATGTAGGCAAAAATGTAAAGAAATTACCGCGCTTAGTAAATGCAGACCTCGATTCACTGGTTTTATGGTTGTAAAGTCACAGAGTCCGCTTGTCGCTGCAGCATGTCTGCCAAGCCGACATTTTAATATCCCCGCAGGATATTCCATGACTTCACGACACGGATAGAGGAAAAATACTTTATTACATTTAATTTTCCTGTGGGCTCACGTAGTTTGAAGGGATGTTCCGGGAGATTAGTTTTAGTGACGAGTTGGAAAAAGTCGTCACAACGGAGGACGCAGTCCAAACCACGCACGATACAGAGAATATTACCAAGCCTCCGCGCGACTGCCTCTAACTCAGAGGATAGAGATTAAGGTTGTTTAGACGGGTATCGTAGGGCAGTGCGCCTTGGACAGATTGTAATCCTGCTGCGTCACGGTCGCCAGGCCTGAATTTCATATTCGAGGTGCAGCCTTTCAAAAGTGCCGAAAAATTTGGAAAGGCAGTCTTCATCGAAAATTGTAAATGCTCGCTTGTTTACGTATAGTATTGAAGTTTCGGCGAACATGGCACTATTGCAGTCCAACCCATCTACACAATCATTTATGAACAAGAGAATGAGCGTTGGTCCGAGCACTGAGCCTGGCGGGACTCCACTTTCTAGGAATGTGCACCTTGATTGATGTTGTTCTACGCAGACAATTTGGGAACGACCAACGAGCAAATTCTCAGTCCATTTGACAAGTTTGCCGCCGATGCCTATGACACTCAACTTGTACAGAAGACGCTGGTGCGGAACACTGTCAATATGGGTCAAAAGCCACGAATTCAACTTTGCGAGCACGCGGATAGTGGCGCGGGCCAGCAATAAGACAGGACGAGCACTGTTAGAGGCCTGGGTGTCTGACACCAACGCTATCAACAGGCACGTTGATATACCCCCCTGCTATCACGCGCTCCGTTCCCGCGGCCAAGGGGCGAGACCCAATTTCCAGCCAAGGGTGCACGCAGTCACGCCACCGTG